AAATAAATTAAATCGGTGTAACAATGGTGATGAGGTGTTCTAGCGTTATGAGCCTCATGCAAGGGGTCAATCTTGTACTATTTCATCTCAGGAACATGTTAGAATAGTTAATTTCAATCAAAGCATTGCAAAAATCAAAATATGAAACTCAGAAAAATATGAAAATCGACCATGCTTGGAATGCTCATTTTAGGAACTTTTGATCATCAAGAATGATCCCAACTTACTCTATGGCACCTCAGGAATCAATTGGGATGATTGCTTGTCCTTGAGGATGGATGGAAGTTGATTTCGAGTTTGCCCTATTTTTGACAATATTGGAGATTTTGAGAGGGTGTTTTTAAGCAGCTTTTCTTCTCTTCCTTTTTGTCTGAATATGAAGGGTATATATAGGAGAATAGATTAGGTTAAGGCATGCGCTTGGACCTTGTACAAAATATCTTTGATTTTGTTTGAAAATAGATCGGAATAAGACAAAAACCATGAAGATTTGTTTTGCAAATAGGCTCACACGGTTTGCAATGTAGCCTTGGGCCTCTAAAAGATTTGAATCAAAAGCCTCTTATGATTTATACCTCCACTTAATATTTATTTGATTTAATTTTAAATTCAACTAGATAAAAATTAAAATAAATGAAATAAAAATTAAAATGGTGCATGAATGGACATAGAGATCCATTATAAGGTCAAGAACACGTTTGGACTTTAAAAGATAAGCCCATTAGCCCAAAAATTCAAGTTTGCTCAATTTGGATTTCATGTATTTTCTCAAAATTTTCCAATTTGCACAAATTATAACTCTCTTAATGTCTCCTACAACTCTCATGTTGGTCATTTTTCCATTTGAAGACTTTATCTTTATGTAAATTACTTTGACAAAAACTGTCTTTTTATTGACTTTTAAAATGACTTGTAGTGTTTTGACCCATATCGCTCAAATGAAGCATTTTTGGCCTTGAGCTTAGAGACAAAGTTGTAGAGAATTGAATTTACATCAAAATGGGCTTTGGTTGAGAATTTTTTGATGAAGCATGTGAAATTTATACTTGGTCAAAGTTCAGTTGACTTCTCCTAAAGAAAACCCTAATTTAGTATCTTTTGACGAATCTTGAGTTTTCTTGATGAATCATGATCAACCCTTGATCAAATGATGAATGTGAGTTCAAAAATGTTGATGTTGACCAAAAATCTTGAAATTTGACTATATGTTGACCACATTTGACTCTTTGTCCAACACAGTTGATTTTCACTCATTTGAGCAATTGACTGAGCAAATTTGTGATGTAAGGCTTGAAACTTGACATGAGGATTCTTTGAAGCATATGAGGAACCATAAAAATCACTTGAGGCATTAGAAGTCCCATTTTTCTTGAGAATAACAAAACCCTAATTGTAGGTCACTACTTAGGAGGAGGGTTCATTTGATCAACTCTTGAATAGTCTTGAGTACTTGAGAACCTTAGGAGCATGAGGAGATCTTTTGAAATGAAAGGGAAAATTTTGGGGTACAACAACATCACCCGAGGAGGCGACATTTTGCGAGAATTTATGCCTCGCGGTTCTTTCCTGACCCAGGTCAACTTGGGATCAGTAACTGTGTCGACCAAATGGACGCCATCGACACTACGAGCCGTCATATTGGAAAAAACGGAGGAAAATAGTGAATCCGATGATAAAATCAAATCCATCCTTCCACTGCAAATCAAGTGAAAGGGCGTACAAAAGCACGAGGACAGATTCCCCGACCAAAGCCCCTACTAAACGACAAAGAAGGAAGTTATGAAAAACCTTCTCGACTCATGGTTCGATGGGTCCACCTATGAAACTATGATGATGACCCCCTCAACGCTTGCAAATTCATGAGTTTCACGGGGAAACACGACCTCGACATATGGATTTCATCCTGGATTCATGAGTATCACAGGGAAACACGCCCCTGACACATAAACTTCATCATGGATTCATGAGTTTCGCGGGGAAAAGCCTCCCCGTCATATGAACTTCATCATTAACTCATGAGTTTCGCGGTGAAAAGCCTCCCAAAATATGAACTTCATCATGAAATCAAGCATACCCTAAGTTTTACTAGCCTAAAATTCATGGAAAAACAAAGACAAAGGAGAGTAAAGTTACTAGATTGAAAAAGAAAATGGAGGCTGGTGACGTTCCGACGGCATCGATAGTGGAAGAACACTCTGAGAAGTCAGAGGTCTAGAGAAGAGTATGAGAGAGAAGGTAAATTCGGCATAAGGAGAAAAGTTGCAAATGGCACCCATTCGATGGTATTTATAGCCAACTCTCCTTGTGCGGAAAACGTGATAGCACACGGGAAAACATATCGTCGAAACAACACATCATTATCCCCTACTCTTAGGTCGTCATAACCCCACACCTTGGCCATTATTGCGCATTAAATGATACGACGCGTGGCTCAAGAAACGTATCTTTTGTCTTCCCAAGACCTTTAGATCCCCTCGGATCCCCAGGTGTCGAACACAAATAAAAAAGTTTCGCGTTCCATCAGTAGGAACATTCCCGGGGATCAATAAAGAGAAGTTACAGGCATCATGACAATTCACGAGCTGGTGGAGTTTACAACATAGGGCGTGAGCGTATAGGAATGTCGACCATAATTGATACATGTTATCTCACCCACACAGACGAGACAATAACAGTCGCGGGCAAGATATCATCCTCGTATGCGCTTTCTCACAAAATGGTCATTGCCCGAGGCGAACACCATTCTCGCAAGCATGTGAGCACAAGCACAAACAAAGGACCATCTAGCGAAAGTCTTCTAGATCTTCCTCGACGCACGAGCTGACTCTAAGTTATTACTCCTTCGTCTAGGAGCAACGACTTAGGGGGGTCATGTTCTGAACTGAGTCTGGGCACGACCCAAGTCGCCCTCAAGCCAACAACGACCAAATTGATGGCCCAATTCCTTGGGGTAAAATATGGACATGCGTTTCCCACGCACCCCTCATCTGGGGACACATCATTAATGTGCTCCACAATCTCTGGAGCCGTTACACCCTTTGTAACCGACGCGGTCAACCCATTACCCATAAATTTTGGAGCATATTACCCAGGATGATGAGCATATGTTGCTCATCTTCACTCACGTGAATCCTAGCAGCCATCCATTATGGGCCTAGATGTTCAGTCCATAATGGAGGCCTTTGTCCAGCGTTGGGGCACTATAAATACCCTATTTACTAGAGGGTCATGTATTTTATTCACTCTCCAATTTTGTACTTGCTTTCTTCCACTTTGAATCTTACTTTGGTATTAGAGTATCTCGCAGGTACACTCTCCCCTCCTCAGTTTCTCCAACAACCGCAGAAACTCAAGTGTTGCAGGCCACTGAAGATCCTTCTGATCCCAGTAAGATCAGTATCAAAACAAAAGGAATCCGAAAAAATGAATACTTTAGTGGACGAATGATGAAGTTAACAAGCTGTTCCATATATTCGAAGGATGAAGATGATATATCTGGGAGGATGTTGCTTTGGTGAGTGGTATAGAGAAAATCTCACCCTCTATCCCTTCTGTTGTTTAAATATCTGATTATTGTGTGAGTAAAGATTGAAATATAAAGTTAAACTGCATTAGTTCAAGTTAGAATGTTCTTTGATGCAACATTTAATTATACATGAGTTAGTGGAAAAAAAAATACTTGAAAGATTTCTTAGAAGATGTTTGAAGAAATATTTGAGAGAGTTTATGCATTTAGAAATGTTTGTAACCCCCACAATTTAACAATTTTTTGCAAATTGATTTTAAGTGACGTGGTGTAACACATGTCAATGCCACGTAAGCGTCTGTTAGAGTAAATAGAAAGTAGGAACCAAAATTGAAGACATAAAACTTTATAAAGACTATTTTTTGAAGGACGAAAAATATATTCAACCTTATCTCAAATGTTAGAAAACAGAATTGTCCCAAAATAATTTATAAATATTTATATTATTATCTATCTAAAAATAATAATATATTTATAAAATAAAATTATTTCCAAATGATTTATCAATTTATTATTAATTTTGTTTCAATTTTAACGTTTAGTTAATATTACTTGCTTTTTCAAAAAAAAGAAAAGTTGGTGGGATACACATGTCTTCGTTCTAATGGAGAAGTATTATTGGAATGAATACTCGTTGAAATCGTACTACAAGAGTTTGAATTGGAATTGTCAAAGTACAACATGTTTAGCTTGAAAATGAAGCATTGCATTTCTTGTACTGCAAAATTGTGTTTCTAAGTAACTACTCTATTGTGATAAATAATAATAATAATAATAATAATAATAATAATAACAATAATAATAATAATAATAATAATAATAATAATTATTATTATTATTATTATTATTATTATTATTATTATTATTATTATTATTAATTATCAATAATTATAATAATAACACCATCACTTAATTAAAGATTAAGTCCAGAGTTTTTTTAAATACCCAAAATATTTAGAAAATTAAAATAAAATAACAATTTTTTTTTATAGTTGTTAAAGATTCAGTTAATTAACTGTTTGAATGGTTAACGAGGAGAGAAAGAAAAAATAATAAAGAAAATAAAAATTTATATTATTAAATTGTATATACAGTATGATTATTTATATATAATTTTAATTGAATTTGAACTAACACAATTTAAATTATATTTAAATATTAAATTTAATCAAATCTAATTTAATATTTCAACATGAATGTGGTAAATAATTTTAAACTGATCGTGAATATTTTATTTTTTTAATAATAAATAATATTAAAAATATTATATTTTCAATTGAAAAATACTTAATCCCAATAAAAAAGAAAAGAAAGCTGTAACGGAATAAGTCCGGATGATATATTCTGTTGGCGAATCCACTCACTGAGCTTCTCTATAAAGGCACCATTCCTATTACATTACCCCCAACCCAACCCTTCTCATTCCATACCCACCCAATTTCGAATACATTCTTCTTCACTTTCTTCCACAACCATGTCTTCTCAGGTACTTCACCTTTTTACTCCTGTGCTTCATCATTCTCTTTTTGTTGTTTTTTCTCTTCTTGATTTGTGATTAAGTTTATGAGTTTCTGACTCCAGATATTGAGATATGAGAATCAATTTCTCACTTTTCTTTGTTATTTGCTTATGGTTCTCATAAATTTTGGTAGTACTAAAATTGTGTGAATGCTTTTAGTTCTCATCAACCAAAACCTTTGGTTATTACTCAACAACTGTTTTTTAATTTCTAACAATGTTTTGTAAATCTTCCATTGATTTGGGGTTATTATAAGATTATGACGAATATATGATTTCTCAATTCTATGCTTTTTCAATGAATTTTGCACATTTTGATTGCAGACTGTTGTTCTCAAAGTAGCAATGTCATGCCAAGGATGTTCTGGAGCAGTCAAGAGGGTTTTGGAAAAATTGCAAGGTACTTTTAATTCCTATATCAAACTATTTTTGCTGTCAATTTTGTTGATCAAGATATGCTAATCTAATTACCATTTTTTTTTTTGCTTCTCAATGCATGTCTTCTATTGGCAATCCAAATATTGTATTGTATAGGAATAACAATAGGAATAACAGTAACTGATATTTGCAGGTGTTGATTCATTTGACATCGATATGAAAGAACAAAAGGTGACTGTGAAAGGAAATGTAAAGCCAGAGGAAGTTTACGAGACTGTCTCTAAAACTGGAAAGAAGACTGCATTCTGGGTGGAGCCTGAAAACAAGCCCACAGAAACTGCTGCAATAACTGAGACTGAACCGTCTTCACAAGATGCAACTATTCTCTCTGCTGAGCCTGAGAACAAGCCTTCAGAAACTGCAACACTGGTCTCTGCTGAGGCTGAGAACAAGCCTGCAGAAACTGCCACTCTTGCTGCCTAAGACACTTTTGGTTCTATTTCTATGAAGAAGAATTTTTCTGTTTTCATTTTGAATGCTGTTTGATTGTTATCTCCTTTATATTCAGTGTTATGTGTTACTGATACTTATCCATAACTTGCAACTACTTAGTTTTTACTTGTGATGATGCTTTTGTTGACAACTGTTCTCTAAATTTCTAATTAATTACTCCTTATTTCCGTTCACTTATTTTTTTGCATCTTCCTTTCCTTTCCTTTATATGCTTACTTTTCTTTATATGGCTTACTCAACTTTGAAAATTTTCATTAGGTGATAAGTGCAATCCAAGTTTTTTTAATTAATAGAGTATCTTCTCAGCAACCAATTGCGTAGGATAATCTTTTAAGCCTTGAACAGAAGACTCATTCAAAGAGTTTTAAGACCATGAACAGTAGTAAACTATGGAATCAGATCACCGATCCAGCTTAGTCTGCATTTTAATCCAATTCAATCTTGTCATTTCCATTCCAAATCAACGCTTTATGTAAATCCAATGATTTTTTTTTTGTCTGGGCATTTGATATTTTGAACCCCTATAAATTAAGGGTTACAAAGTAGATTGTATCGATTTGAAGGAGGAGGTGTTGTAAAAAAGGGGCGGAGTATTTCATATATTCATTACAATGTTAAATTTTAGATTTTTTATTATTGAAAAAAATATATACAAATAACCACGTTTCAGAGAAAATTACGCAAATAATCATATTTCAAAAAATTCTAAGAAGGAGCCATATGAGATGACACATCCACCTAAATTAGCACGTAGACATCATCCCATGGCGAACAAATTAGAAGGGTCCAGAGAAGAAGAATGGTGATGATGCATGAGACTAATGAAATTGTTTGATGATAGTAATTTCTTAGATATTTTCTCGTGTTATTGATGTTATTGTTATCTGGCGTATGTGTTGTTGTTTTATCATGACATCTTATTTATGTTTTATCTCGTGTTATTGTTGTTTTAATCGTGATGTCGTTTTATTTTTTGTTTGCGTTTGGTATATTGTAACAACTGTTTTAAATGAAAAAAAGTTTCGATTAGATCTTAAAAAAGTGCAGATAAGGTGCATACAAATTTTATATTGTCGAGTTAGTAGCACGAGCTGGACAATTTTTTCGGTTGTGTTCGACCTGACGGCATAAATCACATTTCTTTCTAGCTTGTCAAGCACGTCCATTTCGGTTGTGACACGCTTGCTTTTGGGACGATCCTTTTTATTCCTTCGTATTTGATCGTTGTGCCAAACAATTTCCCCTTCATATGCAGGCCAAATAATCCTCTTTTGCTACCACTGGAAAGTTGTTATTGTATACGTTGAGCAATGTCTCAGCCTTGTAAGCAGAAGATGAAAGTAGTAATGCATCTTGATGAGCATACGTACATGCAACAATGACATATGAGCAAGGCATACGAAAGGCTTGAAACTTTCGGCAGTCGCACCAATGAGATAGTAGTAGAACCATATACTCTTGTCTTGATAGCCCCTCATTATGGCCGATTGTCTCTTTGACAATGAACTTGTGGTTATGTCGGTCGAATCTTGTAACATGATGGGTGTTGGCTTTAGCACTTTCTACCTTTATAAATTTTATGCAACTTTCACTCTACAGTTGTCCAAATTGTAACACCGCGTTCCATTTTTTACCTCTTTTTGCAAACAACGAAGCCATCCTAAAATATGTTGATTTCATTAAAGTGGTTACAGGGAGGTTTCATACGCCTTTGAAGACACCGTTCATTGATTCAACAAGATTTGTTGTCATGTGGCCCCATTGTTGTCCATTGTTGTATGACCTCGCCTATTTCTCCACTGGAAGATTATTAATCCACCTACCCACACCCGAAATTGACAATATGATCTCGCTACGATAGTTTTTGAACGATGGTTATGTTAATGCACACCCCACTTTCATAACTATTTTCCGAAGAGCCATATCTTTGATCTCCCACATGAAATTTTGTACGATATGTCTAACGTAGTAGACATGCATAGAATGGGGGTCATGTAAACCATTAGCAGGATTACTGTATGCATTCTTAATAGAAGCATGTCTATCGGAGATCAAACAAAGATCAGGTTGCGGAGCCATGTGTGTTCGGAGATTCTTGAGAAAGAAACTTCAACCACCACCAGTCTCTCCCTCGATTAGAGCGAAGGCAATTGGAAAATGTTAATGTTGTCATCTAGTACAACTGCCATTTGTGGCTAACCCGAGGTATTTTATCGATCCATGCATATGATGGGCATCATCCTCAAATCCCCAACAACACTACCAACAATCATACACCACCCAACAACAACCCCAACAACAATCCCAACACACATCAACCTCCCACCAAATACAACGATGATACATATCCACCAGTACCCAACCCCAAATCCAAGACCAATATTAGTACATACATGCACCACACACAATCACAGTACTAAGAACAAAAACCATATACCCAACATCCCGATGTAGGCCCCTCATCATTTCACCTTAGCCCAGACATGGGCTTACCTGAAGAATATTCCCCAACCGACCCAACATACCATCAACCATCTCATCACCATAACATCCAACAAACACATGAGTACCAAACTCTACAAGTTTCATTTCCTTTTTACCCCCATTATTCAGACGACTAGTGTTATCGACCATCTATGGAACCCCACCCCCAACAATACGACCAAACTTTAAGGGCTTGGGTAACCAACTGTTTGAAAGAGGATCTTCAGGATATGGTGATCTGATGGATTTCATGGACCCTGGATGCATTGACTTTTCAGGGCCCTCGACCCAACCACAACGGGAAAATCATCGAAACACACCACGAGTTAGGAGAGGACTGCGGGTGTGGAACCACAGGTTGTTATCGAGTCTCGGGATACAACTAAATAGTATGTAACTTTTATTTCTATTATGTACTCGTTTCATTATTATTGAAAATCTAAGTATCATTTGCAACGAAATTGTCTTTTATTTTTTAACAAAAAAATTAAAAAAAAGGAATTTGCACCTATGGCTTAGGGCAAATCACATATACCTAGGCATGCCACGTTTAAAAATTTGAATGGATGCGCCATTTGAGATGGCTGAAGCATATTACCCATTCCTAAAACATGATTATTTACGTAATTTTCTTCGAAAGGTGGTTATTTGTGTTTTTTTTTCAATACCTTGTTATTTGAAAAAAAAATCTAAATTTTATAACTTAATAGGATTTTTTTTAATGGGACTTCGACTAATATTACAATTTTCATTTACACTTTTATATTTACAACAATCCTTCTCAGATCCTGAATGAGAATATTAATCATCACACGTTTGCAGGTAAGTTGGTTGAATCGTTGTATTGGTAAACTTTCTTAACACATTTGTTAGTTGATTCTTTGACGAAAAGTTTGTTGTAGTTATCAGTCTGCTATCCTTTTTTTATGAAACGCCAGTCAATTTCAATTTGTTTTGTGATGTTATGCGGAATAGGATTATGTGTAATATTAATGGCCGATTTACTATTGCGAGCAACTTCAATAATCTCCAATCTTCAAGTCTTTTAACATTTGTTTCATCCAAAATCATTCACAAATTTTTTGTGCTATAGTTCTAAATTTTGCTTTAGTGATTGTTCCATCATCTACACTTTGTTTTTTTTACTTCTCCATACAAGGTACAATAGTCTGAAATAGATCTTTTATCACTCACTGAACCTGCATAATTAACATTAATGTAAACTTTCATAGTTAAACTTCAAACTCTTTTAAATAAGAGTTGTCTCCCCGGAGTAGCTTTGAACACTGTAGAACACGTTGTACAACTTGCAAGTGTATCTCCCTTTGATCGTGCATAAATTGGCTTAATACACTAATGCCAAATTCAACCTAGTATTTGCCAAGTAAATCAACTTTCATTCATCTCTCATACAGACCATTGTCAACTTTGACATTTTCCTCCCCAAGACTTATCCTATAATTTTGCATAATGGTGTAATTGTTGGTTTGCATCCAGGTTTTCCCGTTTCCTGCAAAAGATCAAACCCATATTTCTTCTGAGAGATAAAGATGTCTTGTTTTGAGTAGGCTACTTAATTTCTCAATAAATACTTGTTTTGATTAGGCTACTTCAATTCCCAAGAAATATTTAAGCTGTCTATGGTCTTTCATCTCAAATTATGTTGATAACTTTTCTTTGATTAGTTGCCTCTCAATCAAATCATTTACTATAATAATATCATCAACACAAATAAGAAGTACCATTAGTTTTACTTCTTGTGAATGTTTAAATAAATGTACTGGTCAAAAAGTACAAGTGTGTGTGTTCCCTTTGCAAGGGAGGGAAGACTCAGAGACCTTAGTATGAACATGATATAGTGGTTAGAGCTTTCCCATGATGACTAGAACCCATGTACAATGGTGTTTTGAGGTAGTTTAAGAGTCCTGTTCACATGAGGTGAGAGACTCTGCTGATTATCTGATTTGCTTGGGAGCAAGCATATGGTTACTGAAATCCTAGCACTCATACCAAACATGTTAATACTTATGTCTCAACGCACAAGTAATGTCAATTGACAGAACAACGACAATAAAAATGCAGAAAAAGAAAGAATACAATGATATGTTAACCCAGTTTAGTGCTAACTCACCTACTCTGGGGGCTACCAAGCCAAGAAAGAAATTCACTATAAGCAGTATTAGTTCGAAGCTAAACTCCCCCGTTTACAACTTCTCACCTAATTCATACCCAATTCAACTTCAACTTAGGTCCTCCCTAAGTAAGGGAAATCACCACCCCTCTTTTAATCACCGCATAATCTCTTCCCCGTCAAATCTCCCCACGAAGTCTCAATCAGTACAATTTATGGAAATTCTCTTCCTCAACTGAGTTTGTTCCTCCAAAGCTGAAGAAAGAGACCACGCGGTGTTTCTTCTCTTTAGCAAATTCAATTTCCCTAAGAGAGTTAGTTTCCTCAATAGAGCACTTCTCCATCAACAGAGTTT